TATTGTTTCAGAAAAGGAAATAAAAAACCCCAAACCAGTATCATTACCCCTTTGTGACACAAATAGGAGGTACTTGTTTCCAGCAATCTGGAGCTCATACTGCATATATTTCTCCTTTTAGTTCCTCTGCCTCCAGGCATAAGAGTTTTATGTTTCACAGCTTAATTTTTAAACAGATTTTATGTAAGAAAGCTGATTTTTTAAAAAAGCATACAAAAAGGCTTGTGTTATTGACTAGAGAAATAAAGAAGCCTTTATACTATTTTAAGTAGCAATTTTATAGCTTACATAAAGCAAATAACATTGGATAAGTTGAATCGAATCCAATTTCCTAATTCTTCCTCTGTTTCCCTTTCACTAGGATGGGACTAATCAGCATAACTCTTTCTACCCTCATGCCATGCAAAACCCAAGATCCGAGGTCACAAATTATGTTAAAATGAGGGAAATGTTGATTTTCAGATTCCAGACGAGTGTGCTGAAAATATGCAAAGGAAATCTGGCTGCTGTAACAATAGCAATGACTATTTTCTTATTTCAGGTAGTGTAGAAACAATTAATAAGAAATTCCTCATAATGTGCATGTAAAGTAATTTAAGAACAGCTATCAAATTATGTTCTTTGGGATAACCTCTTGCTTTTGAACGTCCTTTGGTGTACATACTGATACTCTTTTGGTACATATGAAACATATATATTTCAGTTTTACACAGTGATAGATACTTTTCTTAAGTAACACAAATAGTGAAAGTGTCTCAACAAGCATAATTCCTTTGCCAATAAAGTAAATACCAATGAAAGGATATGAGAAAAATCCACTTTTCAGGAAGATAAGTTACTTGAATAACCGGTAAAAGAAAACTCGTATGTATTGGCTGTGATGCTTTTTGCAGATCAGCATGACATTCACCATAAAAAGTAACAGATTGTTAAAATAAATTAATCTATCAATGTTTAAAACCTGTATTCTTCATCTTTCGATCATATATTAAAATGAGATTTATATATACATAAATGAAAATAAAATGCAGCTTGATTTGGAAACAAGACATTGCAACTGTTATTTAGCATCCTCAATTTAAAATCAATATTGATTTCCATGGTATTTCAATTTACCTGTCTCCATTTCGAATACGCCTAAACTGTGTACTTAACAGACACATCAAAGTTGGCCCTAGTCGGCTCCCTGGAATTAAGTCTTCTACCATTAGAGCTGGAAATAGATCTATGTTCAGTGGGGAACCATACAACCTATAAATAGAAAACCACAAATTTTTAATATTAAATATTTTACATTTACAAAATAACCAGCATATGGTAAAACTAAGGGCAAGAAATATGAACAACGCACAGTAAAAATGACAGTGATAATGTCCTACCTCTTTTGTGAACAACCTGTGGGTGTATACTCAAGAAATCCAGCAATGTAGGTTGGATATGAGTAACATCACAAGTGTCTACAAGTCCACCCCACAATTTCCTTTCTCCTAGTAGCTTTCTTTTGATTTCTTGGAACTGTTTCTTTGTCAACAGCTTCTCTTTCCCGACAGTCTGTTGACTTTTTATTTTACTGTAGCTGAGACTAATTGCCTGTCTCTGATTTTGTGTATATAAGCTAAAGATGGCAGGTAGCTGAAGACTTATTTTCAAACACTAAAACTAATGACCAACAGGTTACTGGTAGTGAAGGATGTTCACATGAAAGTACAGTGAACAATATTCCCATTTGGTTTACTGTACAGAGTAGATGGAACTAAACATGTAAATACTGGCATGAGACTGGCATTAATATGATCTAACATCAAAATAACATCCATATTCAACAGCATCTATAAAACACACATTTTAAATTAATAATTTCCTGAACACATATAGTGTATATTAATTTCTTATTGTTCACAGAGATGTAGAAGTGAAGAAATGATCTGCATGTGGGAATTTCCCACATCTATTTTCTGGTACAGATGGAAGTTTTTTAAAAAAACCCTTTATCCCTCTTTTAATAAATATTTTCCTCTAGAAAAGACATTTAGCTACTATTTTTGCATGCACATTTAGATAATTTTCTTCACCTCAGGCTCACCTGCTAAGTTTCTCCCTGATTTCAGGATTCTTAATTTCATTTTTCAGATCTTCAAAAGTCTGAGCTGAAGAAAGATTACAGTAAACTCTAAAATCATGGTAGGGAGGAATTCCATGATCTCTGCCTCTCTGAATATTCATAGCTGCCAGATCTAAAGCCACAGTACGTGCCATGGAGAAGAGTCTTTCTGTTAATTCTGTATTGAGTAATTGTGATGGGACACGCATCTTACCAGCAACACCAAACAATCCCCTTAGAAGTGGATCAATGCCTCCTTCATTTACAATCCGAAATGGAGAGAAGAATGCCTTATGAAGAGGTAGATGGCCTTGTGGAATAGGTTCAAAGTTTTCATCCAGTCGATACAGAAAAGGATTAATGAGTGTGTGACCAAACCTAAAAGCGGCAGTTGCAAACTCATTAGTTATGCCAGAATTAACACTGGGATCATAACCCTTATATTCGCCAAGCATCTTCATGCCTACCTCTCCAAAGATCTTAGGTAGCCAGTGGCTAAATGTTATGTGTTGCATTTCTGCACCAACAATTTTGCGTGTTTCATGATATATTGTGTCACCATCCCAGTGTGGATTGAGTTTCAGTAGCTCTGTGGCAATTCTGTTGTGTTCTCTAAACCACAATGTGTGGATGCTGGTAAGACCCAGCTGTTCGTTAGAACGCTGATCACCAGCTAAAAAGCAGGGAATTGGGCTCTCATTTTCATCTCTCATACATTCAGTTGGTGGGCCAGTAGCAAATGGAAGAAGGGACTTTCCAGATCTCTGTACAATGCCCTGTCTCAGAAGACCCCTTTGACTCGCCAAGTCTCTGATTTCCAGTGCTTCATGGTCCGAACTGCCATACACGTTGGACGCATCGATATACGAAGTCAGCTGGTTGATCTGTTCTCGTGGGTACACAGAATTCATCAGGAGAGATGTCATGCCACTTCCACAGACTGGACTGGAGCGTACAAAAAACATGCAACGTGCACCATTTCGAACTCTGGGATCATTTGGTGGTATCATGATTGAAAAGCATGGAGGATCATTTGTACAAACTGAACTGCAATGCTGGCCATCTGAAAATCTGGCCTCACTTAGGGCGGCCACGGTGAGGTCAAGATCATGGTCAAGAAACTGACCCCACTGCATTAGCATGTGAGTGTACTGGTCATCAGGAGTTATTGTTTCCGTTCCGATCAGAGTAGTTGAAACCAAGCGAGGCATTGGGAGTGGGTAGCCATTAGAGAGCCTCTTGGGTTCAATTCCCCGAGGCAAATTAAATCCATTTTCATAGACTGACTTTAACAGACGTTCAAAGGCTGTCAGAGAAGCACCCCACATGGGATGCTGAAGGTTGTTGCATGTTCCATCATGTGTCCTGTACTTCTGGTGGAAGCACATATCTGAGCAGTTGTTCACTCGTCGATGGGCTGTACAGCCTGAGAGATTAGCTATCAGATTCAGGTACTGTGGGGATACAAGATCATTATAGTGATAACCTGAAACCAGAAGAGAGACAGAGAAAAAATCAAAGAATTTATAGACTCAGTGTCCCCACAGATCACAAATTTATTTGAAATGTTATTTTATTATTTTGCATTTCCCATCAGATTTAATATCCCTGTTGTTTAAAAAGAACAATAATAACCACATACATGTACTAGACCATTAGGTCATTTGAGCACCAACCACTATTAGGTCAGGAGGGAACTTCATAAAATTCCAATTCAAGTACAATTTTTACAAAATGTTCACAAAAAGAGCTCGTTACTTCTTTGTCACTTAAGAAACAATCTTTTCAGAAATAAAAGCCTCTTATTACGGTGAATAGGAAATTTTCCCCATGTTAGTAAAAGCATTTTCAAAGCTGTCAGTAACATTTACAGGAATTTCAACTTTATCATTTAAGACTTGATAATTCACTTAATATTATTATTTTGGGCTTTTTATTACAGTGAAAGTTTCAGAATTTTAAGGAAAAAATAGTAATTAAAAAAAAAGAAAAACCCACAAAAGAAAATAACCACGGGCAATGTAACTAGGCAATCTCCAGGACCAGTTTCTAAAGAGAACTGGTGCTCATGTAACACTTGGCACAGGTTTCCTCTGCAATCCACATCATTCATCTCTGGGACTACAATACTTATTGCTTTCCTGCATTTTTTCTCAGTTGATAGAAAAATAATATATACCAAATATATACTGTAATTCATTAGAATTATGTTTTTATAACTTCTAACTAATCTCTAACTTCTAACTGATCTCTGCTGTGGTACGACAGCTTATGGAAGGATTGAAAACCGTAATGCCTCCTAGTACTGTGTTGGGTGACTGCAAATAGCAGAATAGCCAGGTTGTGCCTTGTCCATGCTGCCTATTAAGAGACACTCTAAAAGTGATCTTTTTCCTAGAAACATTTGGGCTTCATTTCGGGGGGGGGGGGGGGGGGGTGAAAAATTCATTAGTTTCAGCTCTAGATTGAAATTTTTGATGCTGTGAAAGACATCCCTACCGTATCTATCCATTTGCAATAGGAGCAGGCTTCCTTCAGAAAAGCTTTAGTTTGTACTCCTGGACTGAATGTTGCCCTGGACCACATTTTCGCTTAATTTGAAAAGAATCTACACTGTTCAAGATCATACCACAACTCACACCAAAGCACAGTAAGTGGGGACAACTGGGAGATTCACTTCAAATGGGCCCTGCTGACCCAAGACATAGACACACCTGGAATGATTAATGGATATACAGTGTGGATGACTGAGGTTCCAGGATCCAGGAAAGAGCCCAGAAGTTGACTATTTGTCAATGCAGTTGTACTAACTAGGAGTCATCATACACAATGGTTCTTGATCTGGAAAGCTTGCAGTCAAGAATAAAATTGAACAAGCAGAATAAAGGCAGAAGATAAAAAGGCATCGTGTGAGCGTAAAGTGGTCCTGTGTTCCCACTATGATCTAATAACTCAAGAATATGAACTGAATGCAGTTTTTGCAAGAAGTTGGTGCAGGCTAATTGCACACAGTTGGCAAATGTTCCTTTTAGTCCAGAGCTCAGTCCCAGCGTGCCTGCAAAGACTCTGACCTTCATCTACATTCAGCAATATAAATGTGTGCTAGACACATTGGCTCTCTGCCAATTTCTACAATGCAGGGCAATTTCAAACAAACCACCTACAACCCCTCTTTGTCTTTCCCTTCAAAGGGACTGGATTGCTCAGAGCTGTTTAGCTGGGACAGGACCTGTGCTCAGTCAGGGGATCTGTTTTCTCAGCCTCAGGCTACATGTCATCTGCATGGTTTACAAGTCAAAGCAAAGATATCAGAGAACCTAGTGCTTGCATTAGACAAAACTAATCTGTTCTTGTAGACATACATAAATTATTTTATGGAATGCTACAGACCAGGAAAAAGAAAAATAAACCACAGATCAAACCCAGTAAATGCCATTGAGTAATGCAGCAAAACACACTCATATTATACATATTATAATGTGCTGGCTACTAAGGCATTTTAATTCTGAAACTACACCCAGAAAACATATCTTCTTTATAATAACACTCCATTTAAAATCATGTTCATTCATCATGGTGTTCTTTCCTTATGATCATTATTCATGCAGTCTTTACACAAATATTTGTGGTTGTCCTGGTTGCCATCCACATTTCTGAAATCAAGTTGTTAGCAAATCTCAACCATGAATGTTTTGCGTGGAATGGCCTTCATTCATTACCAATTTAAAACAAAACATTCAGCTTCTCTAGAAGTTCAGGTGGGATGCAATGCTTAATCTATGGATTAGATTGGATGGCTTTCTGAGCAGAGTGGAGGCTGCCATAAAGGACAGTCTCAGACCCTTAACTACCCCTTGCACTGCAGGCACAAACTCTGGCTCTGCTTTCCAAAAGGGTGGGCGATGAGCATTTCTAGTGCTTAGAAGCTAGCTAGCTCAATTCACATAATACTAGCTATATTTTCTTCAAACTGCTAGGAAGTTGTTTCATAGAGTCATAGAAACTGATTGGAAGGGACCTCTCACCCAGACCAAGCTCCAGACTAAAGCAAGGCTGTCTCCAGCACTGGATCAGCTCAGCTGTATCCCTGTCCAGCAGGCCTTGAAACCTTTAAGGACTGAGAATCCTCAGCCTTTTTGAATAAGTTGTTCCATTGCTGCACTGGCCTCCTGGTGAGAAACTGTTGCCTAGCATCCAGTCTGAACCTCCTTAGCAGCAATTTGTGGCCATTCCCCTTGTTACAGAGTCTGGCTTTGCAGAGGAAAATTTGGCTTCAAGGTCTTTCCTTAGGATATTCCAAGATTTTACATTTAAAAAGGTCTCTGAATGGGAAATGGTCAAGTTTCCCAGTTGATCCCAGTACAGAAGTACTAACTAACAAACACCTTTAATTGAAATTTGATTATTTGAAATAAAACTGAATAAAGACAAATATAAGTATTAAAATCTGAGTTAAAGTTATTTAAATGAAAAAATATTTATTTCACTATTGAAGTTTCCCCAAAAAGACAGGTTTTTCATGGATTTTGTAAGGCTGAGAAGGAAGCTCTGGTTGTGAACAGAATTCCCAGTACCACAGAAAGTTGCCTGATTTTGTGTTCATTAATTTGTATTTTTATGCCTTAATGCCAATGCTTGGTAAACTTTAGGTGATTGAATTGCACTTTTATAAATATTATTGAAAAGTAGTCGAGCAATTCTCACACACCAGATTTCATATATTCCTAGTATTATATCCAATATGCTTACGTATTCATCTAATCAGTGAACTAAATTAAATCAGGTTGCCCTTATAAAACACAAGCCTTCAAAGAATTTTGAACAAGATTTTGTGGTAAACTATTAATCACAAATTATTTACTCAGCTCGAATAATGAGGAACAAGCTTCTTTTACTAGCAAATGTTACAGTACTCTAGAAAGCTTGCAGTCTTTGTTCTTATAAATACTTGCCTAGTTCACAGTGAGAGTTAAAAATTTTGGAAGTTGCAATAAATACTCAATTATAAACATCAAAAAGAATATAATAAGTAAAAATATTTCCTCTAGATTTTCCGTGTAGTTTTTGGCTATGTCTCAAGTCTCAAGAGCTCTCCTAAAACTCTATTCCAAATGCTTCAGCCTTGTTTCTCAAGCCTATCCACGCACATATCTACACACATTAGTTGTATATGCTCCAGCTGGACTTACATGAATTTGACCTTGGACTTTTCTACTAAAAGGTAAAAATATTAAACCTCACATTTTTTTGCTATTTATAAAAATCAGCAAAACCTGTATTTCTCATTACATCAGGTAATTTCTTGATAAAGGAAACAGCTTAGTTTGACACGTACTTTAAGAATGAGTGGCAAATATTATTTTTAATACTATTGTGGTAGATGCAGAAATCTTGGTTTGTAAAGCATATAAATCCTTCTTGTTACATCATCTTTTCTCCTTCCCAAGGTACACTGCCACTAAATGGTTTTACTTAAAGAAACAGGAAGAAAATACCGATTATTTTTAATAACAGAAAAGTCTGTTCTGCTATGAAACAATGGTCCTAATGAATTAACAGACAGGGAATCAACAAACAGGACACATTATGCACTTCCATTATACTAAATTTGACCAGTAGAAGAATCTGAACACGAATTTTTCCCTATGTGAATGCTCCAACCCTGGAGGTGTTCAAGGCCAGGCTGGACAGAGCCTTGGGTGACATAGTTTAGAGTGTGGTGTCCCTGCTCATGGCAGAGGGGTTGGAACTAGATGATCTTAAGGTCCTTTCCAACCGTAACTATTCTATGATTCTATGAAAATAAAAAAAACACTACTCAGAGTGCTCAAACAAACTGAGTTACACCATAATGCAGTAGTTTGCAAACCAAGGACTGAATTGGGAAAACACATATATTTGGTAAAGTTTTGCAAATCCAAATACACCACTGATTTCAGTGTTATGGTTCTGCAATTGTGACCCAGACTTGGAAAACAGTGTAATGACTTAAGAAGGTTTCAACACAGAAATATACACTTCAACACAGAAAAATAACAAGAAAGTACTGACTTGTTCCATTCAGGTCAACCATTAGACCATCTTGTACATGATCTTGAATAAGCTGTAACGTCCTTTCAAATATTTCCCCGGCTCTTGCTTGCTCAACAGTGTATGGATCCCTTGGGTATCGAAATAAGGCTAGCAAATCATTTGGAGAACGAGGACGACTGATGGATATTTTGAAAAAAAATAGTAAGTAAGTGTATGCAGAAGTTACAAAATAACAATGCTAAATAAATCGTGTAAATGTTCAGCAACAGGATTAGTACATACCTTGATTACTCATCTCAAAATGGAATGCAAACAAAAAAAATTTAATAAAATAATAAAACATTAAACATTTAGTAGCAATTAAACATATAGTAGCCTTTTAATAAAGATTATCTCGTCAGAAAAACTGCTGCAGTGAATAGAAGTCTCAACAGGAGTGTTGAGCAATCCTTACATATTAAACTGTTACTATTCCCAGAACTAACCAGATGTTAACAATGCCATTAAAATAATAAAATGGCTTCTTGCTTAATAAATCTTCCACTACTTCTAGTATATACAAAATTTATTTCGACTTCTCAACATAAAAAAAAGAGAAGGGGTTACCTGTCAAACAGATGTGTACGTGTTGAATTTATTGCTCTGTCAACAGTTGCAATTGCTTCCACAATCGATGTTTGCACAAAAGGATCTCCATTTCGGCTGACATTAGGGACTACAGAAAAAGGAATCCACATGTTATTGCAAAAATGGCCACACACAAAAAAAGATAATTCTATAAAACAGAGTCTAGACACAACATCATTTCAGTTGTACAAAATAAACTCCTGTTCCTTAACCATTAGCTCGTCCAAATATAAAATTCTTATCCATTTTGGAATTCTATTAAAGAATATCACAGTAGATAAAGATTTATAACATTTATAACAAAAAAATTATAACAGAGGTTAACAAGGTTGCAACAGGTTGTAAGTCAGCTTGTTCATAATTCTAAACCAACATGAAGATAAGTACATACAATGTTTAACTGCCCATTAATTAGTCTGAGAATTTCAAGTAGAAATTACCAAAGAAAAATTATTTATTAAGGGGTTTTTCTTGTGTGGTGTGTTATCAGCTTTCAGGCATTGATATCAAGAGCCTGACCTATATCCACTGAAATCAATGCAAGTATTCCCTTTGAAATCATTGCTTTCAATTAGTACTGAATTCGATGGAAGAATTTAAAGGGTTTACAGAAACATGTTACAAGTGGAAAACACTGACAGACTTAGTTTGCCTTTTAGAACACATGTATCACACAAATTCGAAGAGATTTCTCACATTTGAAGAGATTTCACACACAAAAAAAAACCCTGCAACCCCCAAATTTAAAAAAAAACGCAGAATTTTATATATTCCTAAACAGCTACAGTAAATTAACATTGCTCTTCTCCTGAGCTTAGTCTAGTAAGCAACACACATTAAAGGGCTATAAATGTTTTATTTATTTTGATCACTACTTTGTTTTCGACTTCAAAATTATCTAGCTTTTTAATACTACATTTAAAATCACATGCTTAAAAGCTATTTAGTGACTCTGTGTACTGGAAATTCACTAATGCATAGCCCCATTCATCTGCTTTTTTTATGCAGTACTCAGTTGATGCTGGATGTTTGTGCAACCTATCTAGGGCTACTAACCCTCCTTTTAGTCTAAATCAAGAACTACCAGATCCAGGGGCAACAGCTAACAATTTTCAGAGTCTGTTTAGATTGGAGAAGCCACAAAGGAAGAAGGGTAAAGTATGGAAGAAGTCCAAAGCAAATACACTGGAATAAAATCAGCAGATGTACAAAATCAGCTGACATAAAAAATGTTGTTTGCAATCTTTTCATTACTTCCTTTTTTTTTTCTTCCTGGGCAATATTTCATCATTCCTTCATAACCAGCAGCTTAGGCTGCGTCTATATGAGTTTCAGAGTCTAGACCTGGGTAATCAAACTTAACCACCCATACCGTCAAATAAAACAGCTCCTGGCACGGTACAGCTGTATCTGAAGCCGCTTTCTCTCTCCTGAGGCCAGCTGTCTTGGTCTGCTGACAACATACTCCCACAATCCAAAACCAGCTGACACTTTCCACAGTGCCTAAAGTGGTAGTGCCTGATGCATCCTAATTACCCTCTTTCCTCTTTGCTTGTTGTTTCACAGCAACATTACAGAAACTATCAGGTAAGCTATTTATTTTAAGGAGAAATACTGTTTACAGGTTTGCTACTCAGTTCTTTCAGACAAGGCTTGTGCCATGAACCATCACAACACTGCAGCTCTGCAGACTGTAAAATCTGGTGGCTAGTTACCTTCCCTACTGCTGTCCATAGTAGGTGTAATCTCAGTGTTCATTTTAGATACGTTTTGCAGAGCTATCATTCTGATTAATGGTACACCTGATTGGAATCATAAACCTTGGTCATAGAATCACAGAACTGTAAGGGTTAGAAAGGACCTTAAGATCATCTAGTTCCAAACCCCCTGCAGGGACTCCTTTCACTAGACCAAGTTGCTCAAAGCCCCATCCAATCTGGCCTTAGACACCGTGAATGCTCCAAGAATGGAGCATTCACAACTTCCTTGGGCAACCAGTTCCATTTCCTCACCACTCTCACACTAAATTTCTTCCTTATATGCAACCTAAATCTCCCCTCCTTAAATTTGAACCCATTACCCCTTGGTCCTATCACTACAGTCCCCAATGAAAAATGGTCAGATGTTAACTATACTGTACCTGATTTTTGTTTAGACTATTTGCTGACAGAACTTCTCTTTTTAAACTAATAAATATTAAAAGTTAAAGCTCCCTGCAAATCTTCACATGATTTTGCAGGGTGGGGCAGGGGTTGAAAAATGGCAATTTTTTGTAGAGCAGTGAAAATGGAATCCATACATATCCCATCTTACACTTAATCCAGACACTTTTACAAAACAATAGAAAAGGACAGAAGGAAAAGACATTAAAAAAAATCTTAAAATATTATCAAACATGTGAGTAAAACCTGCCCCCCAGCTTCTACACGCTTGTCTTTATTCCACCTCAATTTTAGGAAAACATTTTTATGCATTAAAAACATTCATAACATTAACTTTGTTTAAAAGAAATGTTGACATGCAAGTTTCTAGGCATTTCTGGCTAATGCCATTATTGATACTACCCAGACAGCAAGTGTCCAGTACTTAAAATCTGTCCTTGCTCCTCTGAGAGCTTCATCTTTACAGCAATCACAGGGAACAGTTTCTGATATCCCACTAGTTTCAAGGAGAAACATCATTTACAGTTTCAGACTCTGTCATATTTTCTACTGAAAGAAAACAACAACAACAAAAATTACACAGTTTCCTTATGAAAATGAGCCTGAAAAATCAACAGTTTGACTCAGTAAGTCAGAAAAGCATTAGGGTAAATTCTTAGCATCTTTGGTTGTTTTAATACAAATTATTACATATTAATGATTAGTAACTATTATTTCAAATAATTTTAACAAGCTGATATATTCTCCTTTTCTTTCTGTTTTCTCCTTTAGATTCTTACAATCATTATGAGTTTCCTGACTTCTTTCATAATGGTTGCAGCCTAATTTCAACCAAGTACAGTATGTGCCCCTTTAAAGATAACTCAAAACCTTTTGTCAAGTTATCCCTAAAGGTTAGGTGTGTATTCAACTAGCAAATTCTAATAGGTCCAAATAATAATTCAAGAAGAAAGTAGTATGACTAACTGGAGCCCAAAGCATTGTCTGTTTTGAAGCTTAACTCATAGAGACATTTTGGCTGACGTATTCCCATCTTACGTCTGTGCAGATAGTAGTCTGAATTAAATGAAGAAAAAATAATTAAAAAAAAATTAAAAAAAAAAGAGGAGTATGGGAGAAAAATTGAATCATGAATAAAAGAAAGACTTCAATATTTTATTAACTATTTTGCATCTTACAAATTAAGCAATCAGAATGAAACTAATAATCTAACCCATACCTCTGATTCATACACCTTACCATTAACAGTAAGCACCATACTAACAGAGGAGTATCCTATGGTATTCCGGGCAACGCATTCATATCGCCCTTCATCAGCTGTTCCAACATCACGAATGGTAAGAAATCCCTCTGGACTAACATGAAATTTTCCACTCTCAGTTACCTGTACTCCATCCTGCAGCAGAGCACAATGTCTAGTTATTCTAAACACTCTGTTTTCAAACCTGAATTTTTGCAATCTTTTTGTCTTTTATTTTTTACAAGGGTTTTTCTACATTTCTCTTTTGTATGCCAAGATAATAATCAAATAGATTTAGAGAAACTTATATAAAAAACTCACTGTTAACAGGAGTTACGTGTACTTCTAAATTGTAAACTATATTTATTCATTTTTAAAAGCATTAATTACTGTAAATCAAAGTATTTTAGCAGTTATAGGTCCTCACCACATAAAATTTAAGACCCCAAAAATAAGATAGCACCTCTTGAGAACATTTATACATATCAATTCTTCATTTACTATGCATTTAGAACTATTTATGGTACAGTAAAATACATTTTGTAGTGCTCACTAATTGAAGATAAAATAATCAGGAAGATCAATATCAGCAACCCATTAATTCACCATTATCTCTGCTAATAACTCTAATAGTTTGATATAACAATTATTGCACCAATGCAAATCAAAAGCCACATATAGGTTACCAAAGAGTAACTAAAATATATCCTAGGTAAAGTGTCAACCTAATAGTGTAAAAGGGCTCAGCAATACAGTATTTTTATCGCTTTTTATCTATGATACAGTTGAAAGTGCAAAAGTATTGATAGGATATTCACACAGAACTGTCACTAGAATACAGTTATGTACTTTATGTAAGCCTTTTAAGGCTTACATTATGAATTTTAGCTTGTCTATATAATGACTTGCATAACCATATACACACACACACACATATATATATATAAAAAATTCAAGTTTGGTATCTATATAATTGTGTTAAAGAAGATTTGCTGATCAAACATCAGGTAATGTTTTCAGACACGAGAGCAAGCAATAGTTTGACAGTGTGCACTTTAAACAGCTAGTTATGAAAAGATGGAAAGGCCATCGCCTTTCTGCAACAACTGAACAAATGCCTAGTACCTTATTCCATGTAATTACTGGTTCCGGCTCTCCTTGAGCACTGCACGGGATCTGCACATTTGTGCCCACCTCCACTGTCATGTCACTGGGAATGCTGGCAAATACAGGAGTCACTAAAAAAAAAAAAAAGATACATTGACAAGGTATGAAATACAACTTGTTCAGAAGATGATCTAAAAAGAGGTAAGCACTGTTTATTTTTTTTCAGTTACCCAACATTCCTCAGTCTGTAATCTTACTCTGTCTGCAAGTTTGTAGTTGCTTATAAGTTTGTCTTAGAGATAAAATTCTTTATACCTGAAGTCTGCTTTAGGGTGATTTTTAACTATTAAACTTCAAACAAAACCAGCCAAAACATTTTTTGCCAGAACCATTTAAGTTCCACAATCTAAAAGCTCTAAAAAAATCTGAACAAAGTCACCAGAATGAATATCCAATCAACTTCTGTAACTTTTTTAATTTTTTAAGCATGAACAACAGAGATTTCTTAGATGATAAAAGCAAAACTTTCTGCAAGTCACTCAACTGCAATTCCCCCAGCCCAATTTGCTGAGATGCTAAGACTTCACAGAGTTCCTATCGTCCTGACAATAAGCCCTAGGCATTAACATGTCAGAAAAATCACCTCTGATTTTAAGGACGCAGTTACTAGTGTGAAGAAAATTAATGCATTTTTTAATCCTTCAAATCCAGATTGACATACAGCACTCAAATATCATCATAGAATCTTGTATGTGCTTCTCATGAAGACATTAAGATTTGTATTTCTGCTGTAACATCAGTATTTTGGCGGGGAGTGGGAGAGGGCTGTGCTTTTACAGGAAAGTATTTGGCCACACAGCGTACATTTATACTACCAACCAAATCTGGCCCTGGTGTTAAACTGTTTGTATGCAAATGGCTGTCAAGAACCAGAAATCATTTCAAATAAGGCATTCAGAGGCAGGTGTCCAACACTGGGAGGTAAGACAGTTTGGGCTCTGTGGATGTGAGCCATGTCATGCCAGCAAACAGACCTGGACCATTAATCTGTATTCATTAATACAGATTTAGCCACAGTGACCAGTGACTAGACATTCCTGAGATGAACAGTCCTTTTGTTAGAAGCCAAAAAGAAAAAAATTTTTCTCTTCTTGCACAACTGAAAATAGCATGGCAGTGAATGTATGCAGAGCTCCAATTTCAGGCTGCATATACAGCCTTCAATCTTGTATTTACTGTTCTTTGGTGACTGAATTTTGCAACCTGGGTCACACAAAAATAATTTTCTCAAATTCAGTGAAGTTTAACACAGATGCAAGGCTATAAAACTTTATAAAACTTAGTTTTGTTTTATGGAATTTTAGTCAACAACTTTTTATAGGTGAAAAAAAAAACAAACCAAGAAAACCCCACCAATTTTGACAAATCAGGCTCCTATTCTTAATTACAAAAAATCAATGGAATTTTTTTCTGACCAATCTCAGCTCAGGAAGACGTTTGAGCCCCTTTCACTAAAATAATGTTTAAATGAGGTCACCAACAAGAAATGCTTTGAATTAAATGTTTAATCCCCCTGAATTTAGTTAAACACCAAATTACTTAACTAAATTAAACGTATTAATATGATTCTAATTAATCCTAGAAGTAGCTTACTTAGAATTTACTTAAAGAAAAGCACAAGATAAATGAAGCGGGTTGAGTTGTTTTTCTTTTGTGTCTTCTGATTTTAAGTATAGGGAATGACTTTTGATTGTGAAGGTCATTCTGCTGTTGTAAAATAAAGTGGTTTGTTTCTGGACATCAAAAAAATATGAGACTAACACTATTTATTCAACAGCACAGAGTCTTACAAGACACTAGTCTTTTTACAAAACAAAATATTTTCCCAAGCATAAGAATAGTGTCATCCTCAAAGCAAACCTCCATTCCTTACAAAAAGGAGTAAAACAGTTAAACCTCTTTTAGAGAAGACAGACTGTTCTAAAAGAATGATACTCTGTACAAATATTGATAAGCACCCATAAATGTTATTTATTAAAAAATACGTGGAAGCTAAAAATAGTATGCTCAGAAATAACAACGAGAAAGTTTATTAAACGACAAAAGATATAGCCTCATTCTAACAAGCTTTTATCAATAAAAGTCCATGTTTGGTTGTAAGCTTATGTGGTTTCCAAGTGACTTTGAATAAAGTCTATCAGGGCACACTGTCCCACATGCTCAATTTCTAAAAACTAATAAGACACCTTAAAATTCAAAACCAGCAACTTGGAATCACTGTAAAAATGCAGTAGAAGTCCTGAAGAAAAATCCAAGCACTATTCAAGATCTGTTTCAAAAGCTTTTTTATTTCTGAACGAAGATAAACTATATTATTATACTTTTTTATTTCTTTTTATATTACTTTTTTTTTTATTTTCCCCAGCAGCAGCTGTACACGGAGATCATACCTCTAGGCTGTACAGTCAGGTATACGACAATTCGTTGAGACCCAATAATGTTGACAGCTTGGCATTCATACTGTCCCTGGTCATGCAGAGCAACTCTGGAAATCCTTAGGGTTCCAGAGGATAGGACTAAGTGTCTTCTGTCAACAGACAACTGGCCTCCTGAAACACAAAGCAACAGCAGTGCAGAACAAAGTACCTTCGAGTTACAAAAAGGGAAATCCAGAAGATTTTGTATTTGATAAAGCATTGGAAAAAATCGGAATATCTTAAAAAAAAGTTTGAAACCTTTACTTCTCAGAAGATAAAGATAAACAAACAAAGCAAACAAAACATACATATGCACACAATCATAATCCTTTTTTTTTTATTTGTGGTAGAATCATGATCTTTTTTTTTTTTTTACTTGTGGTAGAAATAAATATTTTCATTTAAGGATCATGATAAAGTATCCAAAAGCAAAGGCATCATAAGAACACTAGTAGGTATTACTGTTCATTTCATATCATTGCCATGTGTGTAAGACACAATTCACCATATCTGCCTAAGCCATATGTAGAATCCATAAAAAAATACATATAGTCCTGAAAAAATGGAATATCATAAAAATTAAATAAAGGCACATCAGTGTCTGTACCCTATTCTTCCTTCTGGACAGTTCATTTGAGCGGAGCAATCTTTTTAAGAGGAAGAAATGGTGACACTATCAGCATCAAAATGATCAAATGTTTGTTAAAAATCTGCTTTATCTACCACAATTTAGAATTTCCTAAGAGTTGTTTTGCCTGCTAGAAAATCATTTGATTCAACTGGGTTATTTACTTACTGGTAAAACACCCACTACATTATTTCTTCCCACTGGATATTGCTTAATGCCCTTACCACCACAACCTGATAAAACTATCAGCAGAGTGTACCCCAGTGCTTCTGTCAATGTGCATTAAGTGACAGAAATGCAGTTATACTGATGCCGGTTACAGGTTGGGCTGTTCCTGTTTCTGAACAAAGCACATCTCACCTAATTTCAAACCTCCAGTTAGTGACAGTCATCTCTATTTCTTCTGCAGTAAACCAGCCGCAATAGGTACTGCTACATGTGATTTGTCTCATATTTCTTAAACATTATTAGGAATCTATTATGGAGACATATATTTTAATGACTTTTCTTTAATGAATAATGAAAAATGCTTGGGCAGCTAGCTTCTGTGGGACACCTTTCCCTTTCTAGCTAAAGCAGAAAGAGATAAGCCCTGTTTCCTTCAGAGACTGAAACATCTAACAAAATATATGGATCTAAACAAATACAAATTTTATTAGTTTAAAAGTGAAAATGGATCATGTTTACCTCCTTTAGTCCACGCAATAACAGGCTGGGGATAACCTTGTGCTTCACAAGGGAAGTCAACAGTCTGTCCCTCAATCACTGTTTTGTCTTGAGGAGTGACAGTAAACTGAGGTAGAGCTAAAGAAGAGAAAATAAACTTGTTAAAGAAAAAAAACAAAAACAAAAAACAAAACACAAAACAAACCCAAACTACAAAATGCGTAACTCTCTGAAATTATGAAATTATTCCTATGTGACTTGAATAGTTCATATCAGTAGGAAAAGAGATGCTAATGGGACTCTTATATTGCGACCAATATAGGGCATACAGTTAAGGTAGCCACCAGTGTAATAGGAACATCTCACAACCTGGCCCTTGTGCCAGTGAAGACCTCTGGGATCTACTGCCATAGATCCAAAATAAGAGGTATGATAAGACTTGTAGAATCAAACACAGATTGGATTAAAAATGCTGCCTTCTCCTTCTCTCAAACAACCCTAGGCTAAATTGTGAAGAAAATGCAATGTAGTCAAAACCATCCTGAGCTCTTTGCTTTCTTCTTTACACAAAAGGAAAGCACTGAGTACAAGTGTGGGCCAATTACTGCAGTAACATCACAGCATTATCAGTGTGAGATGAAATTTGTTCAGCTCTCAAAACACAGTCATCCAATTGGTGGATAATAAATAAACAAACCACAAGGACAAGTTGTTCTATATAGCTTTAAAAAATTGAACTCATTAACAAAGTATTTGCAACCTAAAGTGTTTGCCAGTTAGGGATCTTAACATGAGAACAGAAACAAATTTAAAGTTTACTCAAAATATTTTGCAAATGCAAGTTCCAGCATGAAAACATTTGAAAGAAAAATATTCTCCATATATATATATGAGGCTTTTGATATATTGTTCTTGAATATTTTATATTCATATTATTGACAATACCAAAATTATTGCAATCACAGTAAGTTAGAGTACTTTGACTTTTGTTTTGCAGAAAAGCTATGCTAACACCTCAGTTGGCAGAATGATAATTTCCATGAAACACAGCAAAAAATGTTTCCACACTCACTGAAGTGTCTGTAAAAGAAGGCAGCACAGATCTACACTAAAAACTCCATTTCTAGTACTCCAGGCACAAATTCTAATCTCTAGGATTGTTGCCTGTTACAGAAAAATGTAATCCCCCGTAAATTTGTCACTGCATGTTTATTCCTACCAGCAAACAGAACATAATAAGAAATAAACATTTCAAAACACCAGTGATTGTTAACTTCTGAGGATAATCAATGAAACTTAACTTTCAGATAATTAGTATATAATATCCTACTTGGAGTGAAATATATAGCAACTTTTCTACAGATTACACCATTTTATAATTTAAACAAAAAAATCTCATGGTTTTAGTCCAGCTCTGACAATACAGAAAAACAGACAAAACCACACAATTCAAAGTAATATACTGTTCCTAACATGTCACTCCTAGTTTAAAGTTACTCACCTTGGACTATGATGTATGCAGTTGCATGGATATTATCTATGCTGTTCGTTGCAAAACAGGTATACTCGCCGCTGTCCTCCTGCTTCACATTTTGTATGTAAAGTCCTCCTGATGGGGTTATGGTGATGCGAGGGTCAATTGGTAAAGGGGTTCTGTCACCTTTGGTCCAGGTAATTCGTGGCTGAGGGTGCCCGGTTGCGCTGCACTCCAAAGTAACACTCTCTCCAACCAGCACTTCGGTGTTTTGCGGCTGAATCACAAAACTTGGCCGGGCTGTGAGAAAAGAGCAGTGCCTAAATACGACTTTCGGCTCACGTAGGTAATTTATCTGGATGCTGCAATAGCCTGGCAAATCTAGAAGTTTTTAATAGTTCTGTTCCGGCATACTTCTAATCTTAGTGCAAAGTCTGCCTCACTTTAAACCTAATCTAGCTGCAGACATTTAGAAATATCAATAGATAAGAAATATAAGCTCTGATGTTTCTTTCCTTGACTGCCATTAAACCAGTTTCAAACATTTCCTTTTCATTTGCTGAACTTCATAAAGGTCTCTTCAGAGGCACAGACACTGAGACCCAGAAAACAAACAGGCTAAAATTTGCCATAAATGAATGAAAACACAGACCTGATTAAGCTACATTTTAGTATCTTTTTCCAACTACACGTGTGCTTTGCAGTGACATTTTAAGTTTACTTGATGCTGAATGTCAAAACAAAATTTTCTCACAGCAAAATTTGGAATTTAAAAACATTACCTCCTGGACAGGCATTTAGTGCTTGCAAACACAAAAGCCCAGGCAATACCAAGATGTAGGCTAATAAGCTACTTCATAAGGATGGCTGCACAGCATGTGTCAAAGCTTCCATGAGTGGCCTGTATGGAAGCTTGTGGTTTGCAGGTATGCATAGAGAACATTATTATACTGAACAATGTTGTAATGCAACAGCCTCTTTTCTTAACCCTTAGACAAAGAGCCTTCAAGACTATCATCAGAATTGTACACATAATGCATATTATGCATACATGCATAATAAACATATTAACTGGTTGATTTTTGTTCTGGGGATATGACTTTATGATATAGTTCTTAGGATGCCCAAGCACAAAAATCTACTTGTCAAGAACATACAAGAGCCAAAGCATCTTATTTTTATCAATCTTATTTCCAACCCTAACTATTCTATGATTCTATCAAAACAATTCTCTACCTGAATGAAAAATTTAGATTTTATGTTCTTTACCTGGTGACTCAAAGTATCGAAGAGTAACTTCCTGAGTTTTCACTTCTCCAGCCACATTTTTTGCCATGCACTGGTAAATGCCTTGGTCTGTTTCTTTAGTATTCTGAATCATCAATGTGCCATCATCTAGCAAGTTTAGACGGGAATCCTCTTTCATACTGAGCTCATTACTGTGAGGAAAAGAATCTGCTGGAGTTAAACCTTTAAATCACAAACATAGAAAACTGCCAAATAATGAAATCCAAAATATATTACCCAAAATAATTGGGGGGGGGGGGGCACGCAAGGAGTTTTACTATGTTAAGTAAAATAACAGAACTTTTCGCTTTCTCCTAAAGAGAAGAGGAAAACCAAAAACCAACCAATTTTGCCTCTGCAAGCATTACATCTTCAAAATGAAAAACCAAAATACTTTTATGAGTAAAAGCTTACAGGAAAAAAGTTCTAACTGGCAAATCAGTTTAAAATGTTTCCACTTGAAGTGTATCATGGAAGTTCAAGACTCAAGATACTTTCTACTAGGAGAGGGGTTACTTGCAAGAAGACCATCTTCGTGCCAACCTCTGTCGCGATTGCTCAAGGAGCACTAATGAACCTGATTATAATTTGTAGTGGCTTGAAATGGAAGTTAAGATCAGATCTTCAGGCTATGTTATGGATGCATTTCTGTGACATTAACTAAGAACAGTTAGGGGTTATTATTAACGGAATTGTTCCTCACTCCATCCCTCACTACATCATGAAAAAAGCACAGATGAGGGATGAGATCTCATGCCCAATGTACAAAACCCAGCCTGCTGATCTATTCAACATACTGCTCAACAGGTCAATGGCTTTTGACTGAAACCTTGCCATGTTCAACTACCTTGCAAAGAGCTTTGCTCTCATTCATGCAGCCAGGAAACAAGCCAGAGTCAATAATCCCACACCCCAAGCTCAAATTTCTTCTTAAAACTCTTTCATATGTGTACTCTGAATAAGTTTTCTTTGTTTATTATAAAAAGTACATGAGCCAAAGAAAATTTTAATGAAATAATTATATCATACAAGTTCAAGGCTCTGTTCTTGACATACTCCATAAATGCTTGCTGCACGTGGGGTTGTCACTCCCATCAGCAGAAAACTACAGAACCAGGACTCTGTTGTTCCATTTCATCAGCATCTAACAAACTAAAATGGTTCATTTGCTAATATAAAACATAAGGGAATTTGTTTTTCAGGTCCGGTTCTTCATTTGTATAAGAGCATTATTAAGCCAGTCTGCTTCAGTTTGTGGTAAGCTCACAGTTCATGTGTCTATCATAAATTCACATCAGTATAAGGGGGGTGATGTGCTGGTACGTAGCTACTTCAGCCATACAGTGTCCAGTAGTGCTGAAGGGAGCTAGGCAGAACTTGAGCAGCCACTCTGCAGCAGGCTGGCCCTTGGACTGCTGAAAGACACAGGTCCTTCATAGGCTCTTCCCTCAATTCCCTAAGTAGTTAGGAGAAGCAATGGAGCAAGTTGCCCAGGGAACTTGTGCTACCTCCATCCTTTAAGCTCCAACTGGACAAAGCAATCTGGTATGATCCTGCTTTAAGCGGAAGGCTGCAGAGACCTCCCGAGATGCCCTCCAACCTGAATTAACCTACAATCCTATGATGTAAGTACTTGTCTGCCCACCATGTATCAGTCTGGGGAACCTGGAAACTGGTATATCTATCTCTGCTCTCCTGGAATGGAGCTATACCTCAAAGGAAAGCTGCCTCTGCGGAGCTGAGGCTCAAGGAAGACCTTCTCTGAAACCTAACTTATCCAGCTGGAATAATTTTAAAAACAGGTTTTGCTTTGCCTCAAAATGTATGCAAATGATAACTAACCCACAAATTGCATGTGCAACATATCCATATTGGATTGTCTGGTACTTACACATAAATCGTTAGTTTTACACATGAGCAACTTCGTAGGTGCAACTACAGCTGAGAATCTTCTCAGTAGTATTATAGTCATAAATGAGTATTTTCTAAAGTTATCAGCTCTTAAGCGTTTAGAATTACTTAAAACAGATGTGGGCCATTATTACTTCATATACTATTTTTAATTATGTTTCTGCTGTAACTATTCCATATATGAGCACATAATGTGTGTGGACATGCACCCAGAAATATACAGACACCCAGACATGCACACTTAAATCAGGTTTCTCTCTTCTTCTTTTAAACTTACTTGTTTCGAAGCCAGATAATTTCTGGTTTAGGATTGCCTTCAGCTCTGCAAGTGAAATACACTGTATTCCCTGAGGTAACATCCACATCCTGAGGCTCTGATGTAATTCTTGGCCTCTCTGTATCAACAATAAAACTTGTAAGGAACTCTCACTTGTTTTAAACTACTAAGAAATGGTAAATAAAAAATTTCTTTTACACCTTGTAGAAAAATTTTTGTCATAAATGTTTTAACCAAAAATATTTATATGCTTAATTAGGATTAAACAAACTTTTCCCTATGCAAAAGTGACTGTAGGCTTTCTGCCCTTCTCCATTGTTCCTTAAGACCTTTTAGCAGACTGGAAATGGATTGTACAAATTTGTATCAGGTTCTAAAGTAGCTGTTTTATTTATTTGAACAGAGACTCAATTTGCTTATGAAGGAAAAACTTTAAAGCAATGAGCACAAGTGCCATTTAAAATAACTTCCTCTAGATAAGTATCAGAGCCTAACCTGCCTCCTACAGAATAATTTGTCCAGCTTGTTTCCTGCAGTTTCCATATTAGGCTCCTTAGATGTGCAGAGCTGGTAGGATGCCAGGAGACTTATTCTTGCACTAAATCCCCTTTTTACTATCTTTTTTAAGAACCTTGTAGGCACTTACAGTCATAATTCTCATGATCAGTTATATCCAAAACATAACCAATAGGACAATTTATTTATTTTATGTCTCGGCCTAATCACATGGCTGGGCAGACAAATGCCCACAGCTTGATAAGAAATCTGCATTTTGATTTCAGAAGAGAAGAGGTTTGGGGCTAAGCCCCAGGGTGACCATGGGGCCATGCCTTTACACCACCAAGCTGAAGGAATATAGATGAACAAAAGGATTTAAATAGAAGTGCTTATCCACTAATCCTTTGCTGACAGTGCAGGGCACTCCTTATAGGTATACCTGAGTAAAAAAGAAATCCAGTGGCCTAACCCTGAATCCAATAATATCAACATGATTTTTAACAGTAAGATCTGTGAAATCAGAAGCAATTCTGTACAGTTTCTTTCTTCCCTTTCCTGTGTACAGAAGGGAAGAAAGAATGCTAAACAACATTAATGTTTAGCAACCAAAGACCCTAGTTGTCAATCCTTTTATGATCAAAACTGAAATATAAAAACGAAAAATAAAGTCTCTGGATAATCACATTTAGTTCCTCAAGGACAAACTTCAAACACGGCTATATTTGTTTCATTAAAGATAGGCTGAGGAGTAGAAGCAATCAGTCAGCCAGAAGCAGACAAAACCAGAGAAACAGTAAAGGAAGATTTCTGGAAATAACCAATATTGATAAGTGTTATCAAAGAGAACAGAACAGTAAGCAAACAAACAAAAACATACAGATTAGGTACATTTAGCACATTAAAGAAGCCATCAGGAAGTGGCAAACCCACCACAGTTAAGTTCTTCTGGTGTAATTGTGGCCACTGATCTTCCCTGGATTCTTCGTGGGTACTCACAGGTAGCTGCTGCTTGAGCATTACCCGACTCTGCATATGTCTTCAACAGCTCTGCCAGCCACAGGATTTCACAGTCACAGTGAAGAGCATTTGAATCCAAACGCCTGCATAAATCATGAAGCAGGCATAGCACCTGTCAGCAAGCTTTAAACTATTTTGCTAGGATCAGGATCGTTCCTTTATATGCAGTTTTAACTTAAAATATTTATATGCTTAATCAGGATTAAATGGACTTTATATGTGGATACAACAGGCAATACAGAATACAGGTAACAGTCACCTGCTTATATCCATTCTGGTAGTCTTTATTACAAAAATCCATGTTATTTTTACTGCATGTGTAGGACTAAGTTCAACCTAGCAAGCATCTAGACAACTTTTCTTTTTTAACGCAAACATTCAGTGAATAAATCAGGGTTTATTTAGATGTTATACAAACTTTGCTTAAGTAAGGAACTTACTTATACCAATCTCCCCAAATTACTTTCTCTTTAATACTTATTATTGTATTAGCTTCACTGCTAACCTGACATTTTTACAACTTCCCATTTTGCTGATCAGGCAACTGAGAAAGACTCACACTTTTACTTAAGTATTAAGCTCTTACTGAATTCAGTAGGCCACTAACTTCATAAGAACCCCTACATATTGCAGATAACAGGAACTCGTAAATTCTCTTGACTTTCTTTCCAGTAGTGAAGGGCCCCATTACTCCTTGGAGAACTGCACTTTCTGGTTGAAGTGGCCCCATATAAACGTGGGAGTTTAACCCCATTAAGTACAGAAATCTATACCATTAAATGTATCTATATATAAATTGGAAATAAAATTGTACAGCAAAGCAACCTCACTTTGGTGTATCTTTGAAGATAGTGAACTTTTTTATCATTTTGTCTTGCCTAGATATTATTTCTTCCCTCTTCTTCTGTGAAAACCAGGCAAGAACAAGCAAAACTATCTTAGAAGTTACCATACAAATGTCTCTCATTATATGAGATGTTACTGGTAGAATTTAAATCTGTAACACAAAAATCATGATGTGACCTTTAAGGGTGAGCTGTTTTAGGTCAGAGAATATAAGGTCAGTCTAGTCCACTGCCCTCTTCCACTAATAGTCACTACCAAAATTCACTTTTACCTAGAAATTATATGAAGAAGCATCCCTTTCTGTTCACTTGAACCCCACAAGAACTGAAGGAGGTATGACTGAAGAAGCAGCTACAACTGGAAGACGCATACCTCATCAAAATTTACTTTATTCTGCCTTTATCCCACAGTTAAAGGTATGGTCCTACAATGTAGGACAAATGTCCTACATCAGCAGGACCACCGTGTGGCTACATCCCTTGCGATCTCTTTTCCCAGTAGAGCGCTGTGTCTTCCTCCACAGCAAGCCCTCAGCAGTCCTACCAGAAAGCAGGGTATGAATGCATGACTACCTTTCTCAAAACAGCAGTCTCAGATAATTTAAGTAATGTTTACCCTAATCAGTGTAGATCCAAAATGTGGGATAGAAAACCCTCTGAAGGTCACCTTACTATGGTACTTTTGCTGAGTTCAAGTTTTCAAATGTGACTGAGAAGCCTCGAATTTTCCAAGTTAATGGCATTTCAAGAAGAAATGGCTTTTGGAGTTGCTTTTGAAAGTAACACTTATATTCTTAAACCATTGAGCACCTTTTCATAACCATGTTTTTTATCATCAGATATGGACAGGTATAGCAATTAAAAAAGAAAATACCAAAACAATCAAATATTTAAAGACATAATAGAAGGCTCACCCAGTATGAATTAGGCAACATGAGGGGAAAAAAAAACCAACCAAACAAACAAAAAAAAAAAACCAAAAAAATCCACCAACCAAAAAATCTAAAGAAGGATCCATATATATAAGTTCGTCTACAAAACAAGACCATATGAGTACAAGGAATTCCAAGATAGGAAACAGAAGGATTTAGTCAGTCACTAAAGAAAGTAGGATATGAACCAATGGTCTTAAATCTATGTACATAAAACAACTCGAGCACAGCTTAGGAAAAACTATTTAATATTTAAAACAATTGCACAATGAAAGGCATTTGTAACAAATATAAATATTGCAAGATGAGATATGGTGTAATTAATTATTTAAACTTTCTTTAGTTAACAATAATTAAATTTACTTACAGTCTCTTCATAGATTCTAAGTGACTAAATGTTCCAGGAATCAAATGAGCTATTCTGTTGTTATGCAAAAATCTGTTAAAAAGCACAGAAATATGCATGTAATGATTCAGATTTTGAGAAGTACTCACTTCGTTTACATTCTTCTGAAAGTTCTTTTAGAGAAAGTAATTTTATAAAATAAAAAAAAAAAAAAAAGAAGAAACTTGTTGAAAATTTTTCAGCAATTCATTTGCTGGTATTCTGTAAGTAGCCTCCAAGGCGTATTTTGGTGTGCCCATTTGGGGAAAAAGAGGCCATAAAAAGAAAAAGTAACCAAAAGGAAGGGAGTTCATAAGCATTCAAATGAGAAACTCAAAGAAAAAAAAAGAAAAAAGAAAGAAAAGTCATAATATAAATCTTTTACTTCTGCATTAATAACATTTATTTTAGGTGAAACACTGATCACAGTTCTTTTGGAAATCATTTTGCAATAGAAAAATATACCACAAGCAATACTCACTTCTTTATGCCTCTTAAGGTCAGCCTGACCAGTGTTCTTGGCAAAGACTATGTAGTTGTAGCGATAAAAAAATTAGACTAAAAATAATCTATGGGAATGACAAAATAAATAATTTCCAGTTTCAAACATCTGATTTAATTCAAACAAAGAAGTAAGCTGACTTCTGAATCTTACCCCAAGAAAAACAAACTTACAGCCTTTCAAGTTTTGGAAGGTGGGTAAAGGATTCGGGTTCCAATGTTTCTATTTGATTAAAGTGCAGATACCTAAAAATATGTTAAACAAAAGGAAAAATGCTGAAACAGTTTTCTTAATGAAGCTAAAATATTATAAAGTATTTGCTGTTGTTTCCACACTGTTTACGCATGTAAGTGGTAATAGTCATCTAGCGGCTTAACTTTCTTCTATTATCTGAATCCTGTAATTGAATCTGAGAAATACATGACATGACAAACAAGAAGGGTTTGCAAAACTACTATATAGTGTGTGTGTATGTGTGTCTGTACATGTATGTGCAAAAGAATTAAAAAAACCCAAAACACATTACTTTGGAGGTACAATTTTGAATGCTTTGCCAAGTCTAATTTTTGTTAGTATGCATACTTGAATACACAGGGAAAAAATATTTCTTTTTTTACAGGAATATGTTGCAGTTGTTTAGAAAACATACAGCTTCCAACAGACTCACATTTTCAGCGGGCAATTGTTTCCATTGCTATCACATTGAGTGAAAATTTCAAAAGATGCTGAGAAGCAACCTGCTGTAGTCCATGAATACTGCTATTTAAAGCTACAAATGCTCTCAAAAGCCAGACAAACTCATAATATAAATTCAAGTTTGATTGATTTGCTTTTAGACAAAGAGCTTCCCAGCAATTGGTATACAACTAACCACCACAGCTGTGCTGTTTGATACTCTGTTGACACTAATGTAAGCTATTAATATTACACAGCAACAAATATTACACATCTATTAATCCTGTACAACTGAAAAATTCTAACATAACAAGATAATTAATCAGATTATCAATTTGTAACTGCTGTGAAAATGGACTGCAAAGGCAGGATTGTTCCAGTCTTCACTATGTTGTGGAGGTACTTCATAACCTTGCAGATGAGAAAACAAGTAATTGATGAGATTTGCACAAGGAACTGTGAATATGATTTATAGACTTTGGATCCTGATTATATCCAAATGTATCCAAACCTCCCTAAGTTTGCTATGTAACCTCTGATAAACTCAGGATCATCTGGAGAATGTCCACATACAGGAATAATTGAAAAAAATCCTGTCATTTAAAATCAAAGAGAAAATCTCAGACCCCAAAATCTCTTGAAAATTCAGTCCTTCAGTAAAAGCACATGGGAACTTGCTTGTGCTGAAACACCGCATGTGCTCTACTCCTTGACCTGAGCTGAATGGTCGCTGCAGAGAAAGGAAAGCAAGAACAAGCGGCAATTACGGCAGAGAGTTGTTGCAGCAAGCCCTAGAAGGCGCGTGCAGCAGGGAAGCCAGGCACGTGCCTGGCAGTCTCCCAGATCCCCCGCCAGCAGCAGCACGGCCCAAGCACAAGCCAGCAAGCGATGCCAGGGAGCAATGAATGGGGACCACAGAAAAGCCAATAAATCAGCACAGGTGTGATCAGGCACATCAGGGTGTCAAGTCTGCTTGCTGCCAGTGCAACGTGTGGCCACATATTGTAGTGAGCATAGAATACGATGCTGTTTGCTCAAGGAAACAAGAAGTGCATAATTATGCTATGCCTGCCAGTCTTCATCTCCCTTTTGAAAATCCAGGCCAATTTCACCCAAATTAAACAGACAGACATCTCAAAGTCATATACGTCCTGCAAGGTTCAGTTGAATCACCAGCAGAGATGAGAAACCTCAGTCAGGTCCAGCTCTGAGGAAGAACCAGAAGGATGGGACTGATATCTGCCCTGTGACCAGGGCCTGGCCATGAGGTGGGCACAGCTCGCCAGGAGTCAGGGCTCTGCTCGCCCACCTCCCCACCATCAGCAGAATTTGGGAGGGGGCAAGGCAAGGTGGGGATAATCACTGCAGTGAAAGAGGGTGAAGGGAAAAAAAAAAAAAGGCACAACTATAGAGTCTGTTACTTCGATTTTGGAGAAAACTACATACACTACTTCTAGGGCAGGCAACAGGGATTTTTTTTCCTTTTTAATTTTGTTAATTCTACTTGTACTTCTTTGTCATTGACAAGGAAAGATTTGTAGGTACAAGTAATACCTCTTACTGGAACAACAAATTAGACACTGGCACAGGCTGTCCAAAGAAGTTGTGATGCCCCATCCCTGGCAGTGTTCAAGGCCAGGTTGGACAGGGCTTTGAGCAGTCAGATTTAGCAGAAGGTATCCCAGCCCATGGCAGGGGGCTTGGAACTAGATGATCTTTAAGATCCTTTCCAATCCAAACCATTCTACGATTCCGTTAATTAACTTTGGTAAAAGCAGGCACATTGAGGCACACATCCCTTTCTCCAAGTGCAAGGATCAGAGGTGACATTAGCAAAGAAAGAAAAAAGAAGGATGCCTCTCTTGGATAGTTTAAGTGATGTATACATCATTGAACTCAAAGCAACAGCTCATATCTGCTGTTTAGTATTCACAATTACTATAATTACAGAATCTAAAGAACCTATCTGCCTGAAAACTATCTCCGTATTCCAAACAAATTAATCAGTGTAATTAAAACAATACTTCTGTTAAAAACCTTGCCTTGTTTATGATTTCATATCATCACAGACACAACTACAATAATTCAGGCACTGAAGTACATTGTAATAGTTTTATGTCATCAGATTTCATGCTGCCTAAAGTAGCTCAAAAAATTGAATCATAAAGTCCAACTGGAAAATACTCTTAACTGCTTCACACAACAAGAGAGTTGGGTTTTGGAGATCTTTATATTATGACCTCTAAAAAGTCCTGAGCAACTTGTCAGGCAATTTATGAACAGAACAAGATGTACTTGTGCAGACAAAGTAATTAGCAATAAGTACAATTCTAAAAAAACCTAGATGCAGAAGCCAGATTGTGTTGTAAGTCTACAATAAAAAGAATTAAAAATCCTTGGCTTTACGATCTACACTTTAATCACTTTTTATCACCTAGGTTTATCACTTACATTCTTTTCTTCCATGTTTCACATTATTTTTTTTAAAGGATTTTTAATAGTCTAATTAATATGAGAATCTCTTGGACTGGAAATTCACTTTCAAGTAATCATATTCAGGAAATAATATCACAGTGACATGTTTTTATAGACATCTTTTATGTTCAGAGAATAAAACGCTCTTAAAAATAGCAGGAAAATGTAATGAATTTGATATTAAAAAGACTTTCATAATGGAAACATAAAGAAAATCATGCAAGACTGATTTTAAATACCCCCGTGTCTTCCTTTTGTAATTCTGAATTCCCTATCAAGGATAAAACAGGAGGAAAGGTAATACTTAAAGGAAAAAAAAAAAAAAACAAACTAAACACACCTAAAAGAAGATAAAGATTTGGTCAAATAAGCAGATTTTCTCTTTGTTGTTATTAATCTTGGAGGATGAACATTTACAATAACATTCAGTCCCACTGGCATTTTTCATGGCACTAAATTTAAGATTATATCTTCTGTAGTACAGTATTTTTGCAGAGGATTCTTTTTATCATATATGCCAATTATTCATTTCTAGTAGTATCTCCACATCTTTGGGGAAGTACTTAAAATCCATTAGTTGAGTATCATCTATGTTCTGAATATTTAAATAGCATGTTTGACATTTTGATTATTTGAAAGAGAATAACAAACGTTTTTCACACATTTATCACAGAGATTTCCCTATCCAGGGGTACGACAAGAAGTGACAGGCTTAAACCACAAGGAAAGAAGTTTAAATAAGATGTAACAGTAATGATATAAAATATCGTAACAGGATTCTTAAGATTACAGAATTGTCTCTTTAAGGACTTTTAAAATAAGGCTAGATAAAGATCTGTTTCCAGTTATCTAAATTTGCTGTCCCTCACTTATCTTTTTTTAGAATAATAAGGATGTACTTCTCAAAGCCCCTTCTATACCTTCTGTTTGTTTATTAATTAATTCTCTTTCATTCCCTTCCATAGGTATTTTTAGCAGCAATAAGACTTTCATCGGGCTCTACTGTGTTAAATGCGCATAACTGCTATACACAGTTATGCAAAAATCAAGAACACGTTGTAATATAAAACTTAAAAAAATTCTTAGCAACATTTCAAAGCTACTGAAAATTGGATTGAGGGAAAAAAAATGAATATAACAAGCTGCATCACTACATGTAAAATAACCTCATCTACTAATTTCCCCCAGAATATGTACATGTGTACACAAACTACAGCATAACTCTAGTAACAGTTTTTGAAGAGCAAAATTAGTATGCTAACATGAAAGTTAAAAGAAATGCATAATTATTAAGATTAGTTAACATTTAAATAATTCCATTATTATTTGGGGATTCCACTAGTTAAGGACTGCAGAGAACATTTTTTGTCCCTGATACGGACAGCTCATAAACTGAGATCTCAAAAAATATAGTAGATATTCAGAATAAAAGGAACAGACACACATCTGGAAATAGACTGCACTTAGAGCTCTATCTTGGGATCCATATACAGCAAACTTATGATCTTCCAAGCCGGGTACTTGTGACATTTCAGGTGGGATTCAATTGTCTAAGCACAGGCATATAGAGGCAGCTTTCATTGCCTTTCAGTGGTCTGGCTGCCTTCTGGCTGATGCTCCCAAAAAATGCAAGTGTACCACAGGTTTGCGTCGCATTTACCAGACCCAAACATACGTCTTGTAGATTTAGCAGGGTCTAAACTGGTACTAAGCAGCTACTTTTCATCAGCTGACTTTCTGCCTTCATGCCCTGCCATGACTGAAGAGTTAGGTGACAAAATACGTATAGCTTAATGTGTTCAAGCATCAAAAACTGCCAAGTTTTTTTCAGAATTTACTCTAATAGAAGTAAGTTTCAAGACCTGATTCAAAGACCTTTATCCCTTGGCAAAAAATTCTGAATAAAAAGGCATTTCTGCTACATCAGCAGCTAAAAATTCTGCTGTGGAGGTTTAAGAAGGATCATGCCAGCCACAGTAAATATTGGGGGTTTTTCTTCCCTTATACATGCAACAGGCCTCCTAAATCAAATTATATTTACACTTTCTCTCAAATAAAAACAACAAACAAACAAACAAAAACCTAACCAAACAAA